AAACCTGAAAGCAGGAGGTGGTGAAACAGTGAAGGAAAGGCTTGTTGTCCATAATAACTTGCGATAAGTTGCAAATATGGCACCTGAGCACTGAGTAAACTACAGGTTTGATGACTGTAACAGTGAGAGACTTCACAGAATTAAGAGAAAAGGGAACAAATGAAAAATAAATTAAAATAAAACAATTTAATCCAAATTTGAACAAAACTAATTCAGTGGCTACTGTATTACAGAAATACCACCAAACATCTCCTGTGAAGTGTGTGGGAGGGGCTTAGCAAGGGAAGGCACCAGATCACACTGCTGTTTAGCGCCAACCAGTCCTATCGGATTTTTATATGATAGTATATAATGAATGAATAAATAATAAAAACATGAACCCAAAATATTCATGGAATTTTTAAAATGTTTGATTAAAGAAGCTTTTTTTATTGTTCCATGATGAAATTGTTAATGGCAGAAAGCAAATTATGACTTGGCTTAATGTGCTGAGTTTTTGTACAGAGATTCTTCCTCTTGTGTCACTGTGGGTCTCGCACAATAATAAACAGCTGAATCCTCAGACGTCAAACTGTTCATCTGCAGATACACCTGCTTTTTGCTGTTGTCTCTGGAGATGGTGAAGCGGCCTCTGACTGACTGAGAGTAGTAGATGCCACTGCTAGGGTCGATATAAACAATCCATTCCAGTCTTTTTCCAGCAGCCTGTCTGATCCAATTAGCATAAATATCACTGCTGAACCCTGAGTATGTACAGGTCAGTCTGTGGGAGTCTCCAGGCCTTTTAACCACTGGTTCAGACTCTGTCAATGTTTGACCCTCAGTACCTACAGAAGTGTTAACAACTCATTAGTTATCACATTTCTTCATATCATTTCATTTGTTCATCAAAATGTATGTCCTTACCAGCCAAGAAACAAAACAGAATCAGGAAAATAACTAAATGAACAGGTTTGGTCATTGTTAAAGTCAGTTGTCTTTGCCCAGTCTGCTGTGTCTATATGAGGTTGAATCACTGACTTAGGCTTGAACGCATATAAAGTTAGTTAATACAGGAGTTTTGCATTGACTCCTCCTCCTCAGCAAAAATTTTGCTCTTTGACAAAGTAAAAAAACTAAAAAATGATAATAAAGATTTTGCCAATTTTTGATTCTTTTTTTAACGTATTAAATTAAATTAATTTTAAAGGAAATTAGAATTTTCAAATATTAAAACTGACCATTTTTTCAAGACAATCATTCCCACACTATTTTCAGAACATTATGTCTTATACTGCTAGTAGTGCTAGCCACTGGGCTCTTTATGTACTCTTTTTGGCACAGATTTCCTTTAATAGTCTTTATTTCTATTGAACACACAAATGTGCAGTATTTGACAACACCACAGGTGTAAGTGTGCCTCAGATGGCTTGGCTATAACTTTGCTTTTCTCAGCAACAAACTGTGTCACATTGTCAGGAAGGGACCTTAATTTCTCATTTGTTAGGAAAGCCAGAGGGACCTATTATCAGAAAGCCACATGCACAGCCTCCAATGAATCATTGTTAAAATTGTATTGCTCGGTGTTTAATAAATCAAATGAGATGTTTTCTAATAAATGACTCTATTTTAATAGCTTGTTTTGTATAAAATTATTTAAAAAATGTAAATAAAATAGTCAGCTCCGTAGTGCCTGTGATCTCAGCACAGTGGCACAAATCAACTTTAGAAAATATATCTACTTATATATCAAGTATGTTTCATTGTCTCAGTGTATAATCAGCTAAAACAGCACAGGTTTCTATAAACTTGCAATATATTAGAATATATTATATAGCACTGTATAGCACTTTTTCTTACTGTCCAAAAACACTATCACAAACACTATCACTTATTTAATTCATCTTCCAGAGTCTTTTTCTTCACATTTTTTGTTTACAAACAGAACAATTTGAGAGTATGAGTATGTGACATGTGTATTACCACTTATTAGAGTAATTGAGGAAAATTTCATCTTGCATTTCTAAATAAAATGCCACCTTTTTTTATATAATTCAGTATTCCTTGTGTTGTTGGCAAATAGAGGAAGTAGTTTTTGTATGACTCTCCAGTTGCTGTGTCTCACTGTGTCTCTCGAGCACAGTAATAAACTGCTGTGTCCTCAGTCTTCAGATTGTTCATCTGTAGATAGACTTTACTGCTGGAGTCATCTCTGGAAATAGTAAATCGACCCTGGACTGACTGGGAGTAATAGAAATCAGAACTATATTTGTGTACAAAAGCGATCCACTCCAGTCCTTTTCCAGGAGCCTGTCTGACCCAGATCATAGGGTAGCTGCTGAATGTGAATCCAGAGCCTGTACAGGTCAGTCTGTGGGATTCTCCAGGCCTTTTAATGACTGGTTCAGACTCAATCTGACCATCAACACCTGTCAACAGCACCAAATCACACTAAGTTAAATAGTTTGTTGAGAGAAATAAATGTTGTGTAATATCAGGTCTATGAGTGTTTTCACCTGCCCAGCAGATAGTTAACAGCAGCAGTCCTGTCCTGTAGTCCATACTGTCAAACTGTGTGTCCTTAGCTTCCTGTCATCTTCTCTGAAGTCAGATTTATAGAGGAGGAGCAGCATGCAAAAATATTGTGGTTTTGCATTCATCCCACATTTTTTTAAGACCAGTCACAATTAGCCATGTAGTTAGGATATGTAATATATAAATCTGTTTTAAAGCCACTGAATATATCAATAAAACAGGTCAAGGTGAAGATACTATTGTCAATTTTCTTAATGACGTTTTTTGATTAATACTTATAAAACACAAACATGATCATATGAGTAATAAAAATATTGGATAACACATAAATGAAGAGTTATGGGAACATTAATTGCAGTGCTCCAGTTTTATAATTAATATTATAGATGTTAAAATTATTTTTTTGGAAGCAAAAAAAGGATGATGAAGTATTTCATGAGAAACAAAACTGCATTTTGAGTATCTGCACAGGTTTTTGGAGGTCTGTGGATGATGATGATTTCTCTTTACAGATATATTATATCAATTCATTAAATAATTTCTATCTCAACCTAAAAACAAGTTATCTGTCTTTCAAAAGAGTCAAATTCCTTGAAAAAGTAAAGATGGTGAGATTTCAAACAAAACCTCAAATCAACAAGCATCATTTAATCTCACTATATTTAAATTTCTCATTGAAATTATTTTAATTCTGTGACATTTTATCATCATTATCATTATTATTATAAGATGTGCTTACAGACTCACCTTGGAGAATTTATCAACAAACTGACTTCCAGAGAAAAATAATCTTGAATTCATTCATGATCTGAGGGCTCCTCCTCTGGTAGTTTGATGCTACAACTGAGGGGGTTTGTTAAGCTGATGGGCTGTGTCTCTCTGGCGCTATGGTAATACACACCAGTGACTTCAGTCTGCAAATCTGGTTAATTTTCAAGTCACTTTCTTGTTTGAAATTATTCTTTAGTGGATCTTTGTAGTATGAATCTGCAGTCTGCAGAATATCCTGTCCTTTCCCTGCAGGTTTTATTTTTTTAATCCAAGCCTTGTGGTAGTTCAGCAAATAATCAATCAAAGCTTTATTCGCCACATGCAGGTTGCCCTGAAGTGAAATGGGGACCCCCCCCCCCCCCCCGACCTTACACACACATCACAGACATGGGGATACAAGTCGGAGATCGTTAGCGTTACAGAAAAACACTGAAATGTACACTACAATGGGAAAGTACAAGAGGAAAAAAAAGAGACCTCTACTCATGCTGTGCTTCCATGGTAGGACAGCATGAGAACAGGAAACAAAAAAACTCCTCTGCACAAAATGCACATAAATGTCCACAGCACAACATTGTGAAAGACATGACAAGCCACAGGATTGGGTGGGGGGTGAGGAGTAATCCGAAGCGAACACAGCAGCTGCCCTGCACAGCGCTACCATTACAGCGCAGCACACAGACCCGCCGTGTTCCCCCGCAGGAAACAAGCATCAAAGGCGTATAAGAGACCTGACAGGTGATGGTCAGATGCTGACCTGGCTGCAGAGTCACAGAGGCTGGCTGTGTCAACTGTTCACACTGTATTTAATTGTACATAAAGTAACAGTGCGTGGAATCCATGATGTCAGTGTTTCTTCTCAGTGAGACTCACGGGATCCAGCAGCAGAGCTACAGAAAACATGTTGGTGCTGAAAGTGATCTTCTGGAAGCTTCTCTTGTTCTGGTTCAACAAAATTCACCATGTCAAGTTCTTATATGTGTCTGTGAGGAAGCTTATTTTTAATACAGATTACAAAGGACAGGATGAAATAGAAATATGGATTAACCTGCAAGCAACAAGTGGAGTTTGGATGTTTTGTGCTGCTATAAACTGCATGAAGATTTGTATCAGGATGTCACAGTGAGGGAGTGGGAATTTGATTAGGGATGTGACATTGAATTTTTTTGTCATTGTCATAAATTATTGTGACTTAATTATGGACATTTTCTTGTTTTGTCATGACTGACCTATTGAGTTATTAACACTTACCAGTGTTGAGGCTCTGAGGGATTTTTCATTCAGCTATACTGATGGTTTGTATTACTGTGACTCTCTGGCACAGTAATACACGTCCTGGTTTAAGTGTCTAAGATGATAGTCAACTTGTCCTTGTGCAGTATAATTTGTATTATCAATCCAGTTCTGTCCCTGCAGGATCCCTAATATAATAAAACAATACAATAAAACCATGTATTTTGATCATACTGTCATTGCCTCAGTGAGACTCTTTGGATCCAACTGTGCCATCAGAGCTACAGAGAACTTGTACTGAGGGTGAAAGCCCAAAACTTCTCATTTTCTCCTGCACCAGGCTGATATTAATCTTTATATCGGTGTGTGAGGAGCTTTGCTTTCTGTACAGAAGGACAATGACTGATTATAAGGGAGAATGAATGGCCTTGTGGTTGTACTGTAGTATTGGTTTGGGCATAATTAAAAGAAAATTGTTTAAAACATAAATTTAGATTTTAATATGTCTTTGTCTTTGTTTTTTTTAATTGATAAAAAATTAAATTAAGACAAGACATCATAAAAGCATTTCCCATTGAGGCAGTGTTATTACATCTTTCGATAACTTAACTGTAATTTCTGTAACTTTAAGGGGAAAAACAGCTGGCAGCAAATTGTTCCATCTTTTGATGGGCTGACTTTTTGTAGAGCATTTCTTCCTCTTGTGTCACTGTGACTCTCGAGCACAATAATAAACAGCTGAATCTTCAATCGTCAAGCTATTCATCTGCAGATACACCTGCTTTCTGCTGTTGTCTCTGGAGATGGTAAAGCGGCCTCTGAATGACTGAGAGTACCAGCTGCTGCTGCCACTGCTGATCCAAGCAATCCACTCCAGTCCTTTTCCAGCAGCCTGTCTGATCCAAGCATTACTATAATCACCACTGAACCCTGAGTATGTACAGGTCAGTCTGTGGGAGTCTCCAGGCCTTTTAATCACTGATTCAGACTCAGTCAGTGTTTGACCCTCAGTACCTACAGAAATGTTAATGGCTTATTATTCTAAAAAGTTTACTTCATAACAATTAATTTGAACAAAAAATGTAAAAATGTCCTTACCAGTCAAGAAAAAAAAGAAAATCAGTAAAATAGCAAAATAAACTTTTCTGATCATTGTTAAGGTCAGATGTCTTTGTTTAGTCTGCAGTGTCTCTGGTAGATTGAGTACCAAGATATATAAATCTACTGAAGGTATCAGATTTACATAGACTCCTCCTACGAAGTAAACTCAGCAGTATATAAAGAACTTAGTAAATATTTTTAGCAACTAACAGATGAATAGAATGATAGGTTATAATAGCTTTATATAAAAAGTAGAGCGTGCTGCCCAGACTGCTAGTTTGAGTAAATGACCTGAAATGTTTGTTGCACTGGCTGCCCTGTTCAGCATGTAGCACATAATTTATTTTGGGGGTTTTTCTGCTATGATCTTCAGCCGGTCCCTGTCATTCCTTTTTCCTACTAGGACAAGTAGAATGATGAGGAGCAAGCCACTGGACATAATGGGTTTCTGGGCACAGCAGTACTGTCGTCACATTGTATCTGAAGTGCCCTTAAGATTTCTTTTAAGAGGCCAGAGGGCACAACCTGATATCCAGGCAGCCAGAAACACAGGGTGATTAACTTTGGCATCTTTTCTGATGATTGAAACAGAGAAAACATGCAAACTGCAAAGCCTGAAGATTAATATCAGGATATCATTGGGAGGAAGTGACAAATATAAGTTTACCGTTTATTTATTTATTTTTATTTAATTAAATCTAAAACATGTTTTATCTGTAAAACTTTGACTAAACAATAAACATTAGCGTTCTCTCATCTACCCTCATGATGACTTTTTTTGACTTATATAATGTGAATATTTCAGGAAGATTGCTTTGTCCTCAGTTCTCTATGTTCTCTCTTTCTATCCTTTATGCTATTTTTGTGTGGACTTGGGACACATCTCAGGTTATCCGTGCACACACCTGTTCCTTATTCACTTCTTTGCAGCCACTACTTGATGTAATGTCAGATCATCAGTCTTTGCTGGATCATTGCATTGCATCGGTCAGCAAAACTTGGCTCCTAGACCTTTGTCCATCTCAAAATTTCTGCTAAAGAGAGGAGAGCTATTTGGTGTTTTTATGAGAGAATCTGTGTATCAGCGTGGATTTGTGGAAAAGTGCCAAGCTTTTGTTTGTATTTGAATTCGCTTTAAATAAATTCACTGAACTTCAGCATGAGTCCTGCCTTTTTTTTTTTTTTTTTTTGCAAATAATGAAAGACAACCAATTCTAACCTTCATTACAGGTGGTTTAACACAAAGCTGGAAGAACTTTTAATGAACTTTAAGAACTTTTTAAAACTTATCATATAAATGAGTATCAAAATATATTATTGTCACTTAATTCCAGAAACAAAATGTCAAAAATTTAGCAGGTTATTAAGGTTGAATTGGAAATATAAAATTTTAAACTTTCTCTATAACTATAACTTTAAAAGAATATATATTATCATGGCAATCTCCAGTGCTAAACAGCGACATGCAGCAGATAACAGTGTTCTGTAGTCTGGGGGCTCCTGTACTGGTGGAGGATGTTACACATGTTGAAGCTCTGAGGGGTTTTTGTTCAGCTCCACTGATGCTTTGTATTACTGTGGCATTCTCGCACAGTAATACACAGCAGTGTCTTCAGGCTGCATATTCTGTCCATTTAGAGTCACTGTCTTGCTTGAAGTGTCTAAGTTGATGGTGAACTTGTTCTTTAGTGAATCTTTGTAGTATGTGTTGTGTCCATAATGTGCATCTCCAATCCACTCCAGTCCTTTCCCTGCAGGCTGTCTGATCCAAGCTGTCCTCCAGCTGCGTAGAGAATAAGAGACCTGACAGGTGATGGTCAGACGCTGACCTGGCTGCACAGTCACAGATGCTGTCTGTATCAACTGCTCACATTTTACACCTGTGGAGAAAACATGTTGAATACTGAATCTGTGTTTCGGCAGAATCTTATAACCATATTCTGTCTTTTCCGTATTGAGACTCACAGGTTCCAAAAACCAGCAGCAGCAGGAGCACAGCTACAGAGAACATGTTGCCTCCTTTGTGTCACTGATGGCATGATCTCAACTCTTATAGGAGACTGTGAGGAAGTGCAATTTGCATACATGGATACAAACATGTTATAGCAGAAAGGTTACTGAAGTTTCCACCTGTAAAAATAACTCTCATGTATCAGGCAACCCTTAAGTTAAATATGTTTCTGACTGCAGAAAAATGTGGGTCATTGCTAGGTGTTTTCCAATGAAATGGAACTATGGAAAATGGGTTGTGCAAAAAAGGTGTTACATTATTGTGCTTAATTAATGCTTAAATGGTAAATGGCCTGTATTTGTATAGCGCTTTACTTAGTCCCTAAAGACCCCAAAGCGCTTTACACAACCAGTCATCCACCCATTCACACATACATTTACACACCTAAACTATTTAAAACAGTGGAGGTTTATATGAACTAAAAAGGAAAAAAAAAATTCAGCTTATGTCTTATTTATTGTCTTATTTAATTAAGTATTGAATTTGCAGATTTTGTTTTCTAAACACTTTTGATACACACTGAAAGCTAAAAAAAAAGATGAATCCATCTGTCTAAGCTTTCATTTTATATCATATACATAAAATAATTAAATTATAGTATAAAGAATTGTAAAAAAAAATTGTTTTTTCATAGCAGTTCAGAACTTCTATAGTTGATTTCTTTTATTCAAATATATGTTTTACAACCCACGTTTATGTGGGCGTTCATAAACAGAAAATAAAAGATAAAACTGACATTTCAAATCTTATTCTTTATTCACAAAGATATACAGTTAGACCCATGCCACAAAAGTTCTTTTTTTTCAGTAAATGTTGTTTTCAGTATTCAGTGAGTTGCATATTTCAAGAGGAAAGCTGTGGCAACTTTTCACATTTAAATGTTTTTGAAAAAACATTGAATATCACTGTAATAACAGTAACACTTAATGTGCTGTGATCTTGCTGTTAGTGTCTCGACTTCAGTGAGAGTCACAGGATCCAGCAGCAGCAGAGCTACAGACAACAGGTTGGTACTCAAGGTGATAGCATGGGAGCTTCTGTTGTTATTAAAAATATTTTTATTTAAAACTTTTAATAAACGTCTGATAGGTGGCAATCTTTTTTTTTAATCTATGTCCATTATTTTCAATATTTGCTGCATAAGCATACTGATTGCTAGCATTACTTGTGAAGTCTTAAGGATATATATGCTACATATGCATTACATACTTAAGATTTAAAGATAAAAAAAACCACCTGAATCAACATTAAAATTTAAATTTGGGTGAAAAAAGTTGATTTCATTTGTTTCACATGGCAAATTTAACCTGTACATTTATGCGATTGGTTGAGGTGTTTTATTTTCTGCAGTGTTGTTCAGTCTTTACTGCTTGAATGCATATAGAGTATGAGTAATTTTTTGCACACTTCAATGTGTTTTAGATTTAAAACTCTAGGTTTTATCCCTTAGAAGAATGGCACCTTGCAAAAAAGGGAAAATTATATCTTTATCCACAACTCATGAGGGATGTACAGTTGTACTGTAAAGCAATAAATTAAATTGGATAAAAAGCACAAATAAATTAAAGCCTGAAATAGAGGCTGGGTGTCAAATGCTGGATATCAAATCAGTATAAAACGAAGAGCTACAAAAAAGAATATAACAGTCCTTTATTGTCATTGTACATGCACAACAAAATTGTGCTCCACACCAACTATGCAGGTATAAAATATAAATAGTAAGATAGCAGAAATAAATAAAAAAAACATGAGAGATATATACAAACAGCAGGAATATAGACAGAACAAGAGAAAGGCACACAATAGAAGACCAGGTTGCAAAGTCCTTGGGCCTCTAAAATAGCTGACTGAAATATTTTTCATTTGCTTTTTTTTAAATCAAAAAAAGCATTAAATTGCATTCTTTTGCTTTGTTTGTAAACATGGACTCATGAACTTGTAACTACTAAACTATGCAACACTTTCATATTTTTTATGCTTTCGAAGAAACATACAGCAATGTGGTTTACTTTGAGGGTTATGTATACCAGAATATGTTTTTGGTTGTTGAAGAAAAGAAGAGGGATTAAGAAAAGTAACCTTCGTCTGTGAGAAATAATGTTTATGAGAACTGGAATTAATAATCACCTTTGTTTCGAGATTATATTTCAATCTTATGTATTGACTTATTATGCTGATCTGAAATCATCAGTGGTCCGAGAGCTCCTCCTCTGGTGGTTTCATGTTAGAACTGTTCAGTGAGGGGTTTTTGTTCAGTTCTAGTGAAGGGTTGTGTTACTGTGGCTTTCTAGCACAGTAATACACAGCAGAGTCCTCTGGCTTTAGGCTGGAAAGGCTCAGATGCACCATGCTGTTGCTGTTGTCTCTGGTGATTTCTATACGTCCTTGCACACTGCTGGCATAAATGGTTTTACTTGCATCATACCAGATTGCTCCCATCCATTCTAGTGTCTTTCCTGCTGGTTGTCTGATCCAGTGCATTCCATACTGGCCAAAGTCAAAACCAGACCCTCTACAGGAAAGACTGAAGGCTTCCTGAGGCTTTTTCAACACTGACGTGGAGGGAATGGACTCCAAAGCCTGACCATTTAAACCTGGAAAGAACCAGTGAGATGAGTGAAACTGGGAGAAAATAGTCACTTCATAAATTAACAGAAAATAAATAAATAAATAAATAAATAAATAATGAGTCAGTTATAAAATTATATGACTTACAGGGTAGACAGAGCACTGTCACCAGAGCAGAGAGTCTGAGCATCATCTTGAAAGTGAAGTTGTGAAGGAAGTGCTTCCCATTAGACAAGATGACAGCCAGGCCCTACGAGGACAGAAGTAAGCCATCTAAATTTTATTAGGGAGGGACTAAAATGTCAGGCTTAAATATTATTCAAATACATCTTTAAAAAAGGTTAAAAAAGAAGGTTGAAGATGCGATGTAGTACACACACACACACACACACACACACACACACACACACACACACACACACACACACACACACACACACACACACATATAAAGCAGACAAAGACACATTTTTGATAAAGCATAACAGTGAGTTCAGTCTCGTGTTATCTTCTATTATGTTGGAAAAAATGCTATCTGGGACAGAAGTGAAGTTAAATGATTTAATTAACAATACAGGGTTACAAAACAAAAAATAAAATGTTTTGCTTTTGTTGTTTAGTTTATTTTGTTATCCATGCATTAAAATTTTCAACTACTTTTCTAACTTGGGGTCATCCAGCAAGAGGCAAGGTACACCATGTGTGAGCAATCAGTCTGTGAAAAGCCTGTGTTTTAAGAATGAGAATAGACCAACAGAAGGATCGTTTAGACTTTTATGGTTATTATATTAAACTTATTATGACTCATTTAATTACATGCTGTTGATTTTTAAGTGACATCTTATTTCTTCTTATTGTGCTGATCTGAAATCATTGGTGCTCTGAGGGATCACCCTCTTGTGGCTTCGTGTGTTCAGTCACTGAGGGGTTTTTGTTCAGGTCTCATGATGCTTTGTGTTACTGTGGGTGGTTCTCTGGCACAGTAATACACAGCTGAGTCTTCAGGCTGCACATTCTGTCCGATCAGAGTCACGGTCCTGTTGGAGGAGTCTATGTCGATACTAAACTTGTTCTGTAGTGAGTCTTTGTACCGTGTGCTGTGTCCAACATGTACACTACCAATGCACTCCAGTTCTTTTCCTGCAGGTTGTCTGATCCAAAATGTTCGAGCGCTGCTAAGAGAATAAGAGGTCTGACAGGTGATGGTCAGACGATCCCCTGGATGCACAGTCACAGAGGCTGGCTGTGTCAGCTGTTCACACTTTACACCTGAGGAGGAAACCATGTGGAATATTGAAACAGTGTAGCAATGTATTTTTATCATAGTGTGAGTTCCTCAGTGAGACTCACAGGATCCAGCAGCCAGCAGCAGCAGAGCTAAAGAGAACATGTTGGTACTGAAGTTGATCTGATTAGAACGTCTCATCTTCTTCTGTAACCGGTGCCATGATTTCACGTCTTAATAGCAGACTGTCAGGAAGTTCACTTTGCATATTGAGAAGGACTCTGAGAGCCCTCTCACAAGAGGACTCTCACTTAAAATTGTGTTAATATAATATGTATCTATTATTAACTCAGGAAGAAGCTCTGATTCACATAGGATGCTCCTACAAACATATTGTGTGAATGCATAATTTGGAAAATTACACAAGGATTCTTGAATCTATTTTTGTATCCCTCTTAAAAATGGTGTTTCAGTGTTTTTGAATGATATTTTCCATATTATTTTTCATTATAATCAAAAGTCTTTTTTATATTTTAAAAGCATTCATAGAGGATAAACACAGGTGTTATTGTGACAGTGAGTTGAACATCATATTTTTGATCATCTGTAGGTTCTTGTGAAACTGTATGGCTGAAGGTTTTTGTAAAGCTTATGTCATTACTTAAACCATTGTTTGTCTTTCACACAGAAATACACAACAGAGTTTTCTGGTTTTAGGATGGAAGTCTCAGATATGTCATACTGTTGCTGTTGTCTTCGGTAATTCTATATGTCCACTCAAACAGCTCATGTATCTGTTTCTGCTGGAAGATAAAAAGCCTTCTCGTATCCATTCCAGTTCATTTCCTGGTTGTTGTTTTATACAATCCATAGTACAGCAACTAACTGTGAAACCACATCCTTTACAGGAGAAACTGAGAGTCTCTCCAGGCCTTTTCACGACAGGATTGGAAGGAATGGACTCCATACTCTGACCTGTAACAGCTGAGGAAATGAAAACAGAGAGAAACAAGTGAGACAGATAAAATGATAGACAGATAAAAGTATCATTAACTCACCATCAATCAGTGTGTCCTGGTACATGGTGAAATAGTGAGCAGCACAGGAACTCAGGGGGAAGCAAAAAAAGCAATCGATGAGGTACAGCACAAATGCTATGGCAAGGACGAGCCAGGACGTCAGGTCATTCATATGTGTTCATTCATAGTTATGATGCCTTCAGTGAGAATCTACAATGTGAATAGTCATGAAAATAAAGAAAAAGCATTAAATGAGAAGGTGTGTCCTGGTAGTGTATTAAATACTAGTATTTCCGATGTTAATAAATGTGTTTTTGTTAACGTGAAAATATGGGATAGTCTGAAAGTGCAACAGATCACTTCAGAGGTTGCCAATAGTAAGCTTTAGTGTGTTTAGCGCTCTCCCTGCCACTTGTGAATTCCTCTAAACCTCAAGTACACAAATGCAATTCATTCAAAGACAGGGAGTGTACAGATTTACAAGGACACTACATATGTTTGCAAAGAAGAAGAGTTACAACAACAGTCTTTGTGCTTTCAAATGACTGCACCTCTTCATAACACCGCTGGCATACCAACACATTTATCGGCATCTTGAAATCACTACATGAGTAGTGGTTTTTGGCTTCAGTCCTGTATCCATTAACATCACTGGGTTTCCAAATGGACACACAGAACTGCTGAACTACAACACTAGTGACTCCAAAGATGCCCAGATGGAAAGTTCAGTGTCCAGAGTCACCTTGACCTGTCCCAAGTAAAAGAAGTGTGATTTATTTGATGATATTGAGCATGCTGATGTGAGCTGAGGAAAGCTGGAATGTGGTTTTCACCCTCATTGGTTTTTTCATCATCACCACCTTATATGGTATCATAGCTACATTGATTAAGATAAGTGCCTGTCATTTGATTGTTTAAAAGTAAGATTCCAGTCCAATTTTTAAATTATACTGGGCATTTTTACTATAATAATAATAATAATAATAATAATAATAATAATAATAATAATAATAATAATAATAATAATAAACACCATGTTTATCCTTCAGAAAATTGCTTCGTGCTCCAAGATATTGTAATTCTCAGATTTTCCACAAGAGTGAGACAAAGCTCCATGTGCAGAAGCAGCAATATAGTTTCCACCTCTAAGTAAAAAAAAAACTACTCATGTAGTGATTTCAAGATGCCGATAAATGTGTTGGTATGCCAGCGGTGTTATGAAGAGGTGCAGTCATTTGAAAGCACAAAGACTGTTGTTGTAACTCTTCTTCTTTGCAAACATATGTAGTGTCCTTGTAAATCTGTACACTCCCTGTCTTTGAATGAATTGCATTTGTGTACTTTGGGGGTTTAGAGGAATTCACAACTGGCAGGGAGAGCACTAAACACACTAAAGCTTACTATTGGCAACCTCTGAAGTGATCTGTTGTGCATTCAGACTATCCCATATTTTCACGTTAACAAAAACACATTTATTAACATCGGAAATACTAGTATTTAATACACTACCAGGACACACCTTCTCATTTAATGCTTTTTCTTTATTTTCATGACTATTCACATTGTAGATTCTCACTGAAGGCATCATAACTATGAATGAACACATATGAATGACCTGACGTCCTGGCTCGTCCTTGCCATAGCATTTGTGCTGTACCTCATCGATTGCTTTTTTTGCTTCCCCCTGAGTTCCTGTGCTGCTCACTATTTCACCATGTACCAGGACACACTGATTGATGGTGAGTTAATGATACTTTTATCTGTCTATCATTTTATCTGTCTCACTTGTTTCTCTCTGTTTTCATTTCCTCAGCTGTTACAGGTCAGAGTATGGAGTCCATTCCTTCCAATCCTGTCGTGAAAAGGCCTGGAGAGACTCTCAGTTTCTCCTGTAAAGGATGTGGTTTCACAGTTAGTTGCTGTACTATGGATTGTATAAAACAACAACCAGGAAATGAACTGGAATGGATACGAGAAGGCTTTTTATCTTCCAGCAGAAACAGATACATGAG